CGTCGCCAACGTCGACATCGTCGTCACCGTCATGCTGAAAAGAATGGTCGTCAACGCCATCCTCGTCGTCACCGTCGTCGCCGTCGTCGTCGTCGGTGCTCGTAACCGTCGTTTTCGTCAGTCGTCGACGCCGTCGATGCCGTCGCCGTCTTCGTCGTCGCCGTTGTCGCCAAAGCCGCCGTCGTCGTCGTCGACGTCGTCGTCGTCGCCGTCGTCGTCGTCGTGCACGTCGTCGCCGCCGTCGTCGTCGCCAATCTCGTCGTCGCCGTCCTCGTCGTCACCGTCGCCGTCGTCGTCGCCGTCGTCATCGTCTTCGCTGTCGTCGTGGCCGTCATCGTCGTCGTCGTGCTCGTCGTCGTCGTCATCGCGTTCGTCGTCGTCGTCGTCGAGATCGTCGTCGTCGTCGTTTTAGTTGTCGTCGTCGTCGCCGTCGTCGTCGTGCTCGTCGTCGTCGTCGCTGCCGTCGCCGTTGCCGTCGTCGTCGTCTTCGTCGTCGCGCAGGTCGACGTTGTCGTCGTCATCACTTATGCTGGTCACCTCCTTCGTGGTAGTGATGGGACGGACCCCTCCGCAGCGAAGTTCAGCGACACCAGCTCCCCTGAGGAGCATTTCAATGAATGCGAGATGGAGATGCAGGGGATGCATCACGCTATCATCGAGGTCGGCGACACGACCACCACTACTGAAGCTCATCTTCAAGAAGACCCCCTCTTAGGAGGGGGCAAGGGTGGGAAGTATTCGCAGATGCGCAGCGGTATGCACAATGCGACGATCGCTTCCCAGATCACGGCGCTGCAGGACGCGATGCACAGCTTGATATCTCAAGTGAATGCGGAGCATCGTGGACTAGGGTCGCCAACCAGTTTTGAACCACCCAAGCAGATCGCGACGACTCGGGCGCGCAGGACAGACCCTCGCTTGCTCACTCGCCTCAAGAAGCTCATCCAGCAGGCTGACAACATGGAGCAGCCACCTACACACAATGCTGTACTTCTCGGGCTGAAGGGTTTGCTTGAGAAGTACGACACATCACCCACAGCAGCAGAGGCTGAGGACACCACGAAGCCTCCCCCTGCTAGCACCATCAAGTATAAGTTGCTCCAACACCCGTGGGGGCAAGCAGAGGCACGGTCAGCCGGTCAGCCTCCTCGGTGAAGGATCGCACGTTGATCCGAAGATGCCGCCAGTCGTGACCTGCCAGAACCTAGAAGAGCACGAGAATGCACAGCGTTGGTTCGAGGCTCGGGGCAAAGAGCTTCCACATGCCACATTTGTGTTATTCGGACAAAGCAGATTCTTGATGGATGGGCAGAACAAGACGTACCAGTGGAGCACGCATCGGGTGGCGCCACGAAGGTCAAGGCTCTCGTCAGGAAGCGGGGCGACCACGCTCCAACACGACGTCGTCTTCCAGGCGGGGTCAAAGAAGCGATCAGGTCGCAGACACGCCCACAGCCAAGCCGATTGCATTCCGCATCACCGTCGCCAGGGACTTCACGGAGGACCGGCTGTGGGCACAAGCATCATCAAAGCCCGCGGCAGTTGGAGGCCTCATCTTCAACGCGCCGACAGCGAAGATAATCCTGCAGACGAAAGGAGCCGTGGGATATCAAACGGAGGTCACGGCTATTCTCCTAGTGGTCCCCGACAACAAGAACAAGTTCCTCGAGTATGCCCTCCCAGAGGGGGTGTTCTTGAATCAGCAAGCTTCTCCTCTCGTACCGGTTTGGCATAGAGTGCGAGATCAAGAGTCCATGGCCAGCTACTACGCCAGAGTCAGCGGGGTCGCCAAGACCTCGGAGGGACGCCTGGTCTACAGGCCGAGTGACAACAGCAGCCTGGGAGTTTTATCCAAGAAGGTGATCGCCGCGGACATCCAGCCGCGGTGGATTTTGCAGAATGCACCTCTCTCGTGGTCAGACGCAGAAGCAGTCAGCAGCTGGGCTACGCAGGGGGGCTTCGAGAATGTCAGCGGTGTTGTACGGTGCGGGGCCCGCAAGTGATTCCTCAGAGGCGACATCGAAGCTCTTGAGAAAGATCGCGTGCTGGAGTTCCGCTCTGGCATCATGGCCTCCTTGGCTGCACCGAGACGACAGACGCAAGCTCCACCCTCAGGCAAGTCGGCGACGGCCTGGGGCGCTCCATCACAAGGTCGTTCGGGCGACATCGTGAAGGAGGAAGACGAACACAAGGATGACCCCAGTTCGACCCCAGACGGAGGAGAAGGGTCCAAGCCACAGAAAGCACCAAAAGAAGAAGGTCAAGCAGAAGTACGACGCATCCCCCAGGCAGCCCCATGGGAGGCCTACTTCAAGGAGCGAGAGTACGGCAGCAAAGGCGACTGCTTCTACTGCTGTGCCTCCTATCACAAGCACATGTCACGCACGAACCACAAGCCTCTCTCAGCCGAGGATACTGGTGGTGGGGGGAAATTGCAGGCTGCACTACGTGTGAGTGTGGCGGCGGAGTTTCTCAAGATGAAAGTACCAGCAAAAGATGCAGCTGCTCAAGGCCAGAACGGCACTTGGGCAAATTCACAGGCGCTGCGAGCAGCAGCAGAGATCCCCAAGACAGACTCTTCGGTTTGGAAAAAGCAGGGCGACCAATGGAGGTTATATACTTCTCCAGCTGATGTTGCTACTACGTCAAAGTGTTGGCTCACGTTGGTCACCGGTCACCACAAGTTGCTCTGCGGCACGACGGCGGCCCCACCGACAGTCGAAGCCGAATGGCGACAGCATGCTCTACATTATCCCCATCACTTCACAGGTGGTGGCTCAATGGAGGGAGGTTCCGTCCGAAGCATCTCGCCAAAGCGTTCTTTGTCATGCAGAGGGGCGCGTAGCGCCCTGGGCTTGTCTACTCCGCCCAGGGCGGCGTCACCTCGACCTCTTTCGAGCAGGGCAGCACGCAGCATCCTGGGCATATCCACACCGAAGTCGCAGGCGAAGGCCAAATCTTCAGCCTCGGCGCGACCACTCTCGAGCAAGGGGGCCCGAAGCATTCTGGGGTTGGCCAAGCCGACGCCGAAAAAGGGTCCGAAGCCTCTCCACAAGGGGGGCAAGAAGCGTCCTGGGAGTTGATGATCACGACCCAGAGCCTAAGGCTGTCCAACCACGTGCACATCAGTTTGCGCATTGGAGCGCTCCTACATGATGCCCACAAGGAGCTTCGTGAGCGACGAGGTGGACTGGTGCCGGAGGAGCTGGTCCGGGATTTGGTGAACGCGGATGACACCCTGCTCATGGGCGCTGACGCTGGTGCAGTCCAGGAGCTGCTGACGTACGTCGAGAAGTTCGGGGCGAACTACGGCCTCCTCTTCAACTGGAAGAAGGTGGAGCTCATGAATGTGCGGACGGACGACGGCGTCACGGACAACGCTGGCGATCCCATCGTCAACAAGCAGTCCCTCGTCTACCTGGGCACGACGCTGTCCGCCGACGGGAGGTGCGCCTCGGAGTTGAGCCGCAGACTCGGGGCAGCCATGCAGGACTTCATAATATTACACGCGATTTGGTCACATGCCTCCCTGACCAGAAACCAGAAGATACACATATTCAACGTATGCGTGGTGTCCAAGCTGATGTGCGCCCTCTTTGCTGCGTGTCTGAACCAAGCAGAGCGACGTAGGTTGGACAGCTTCCAAAATCGTTGCATCAGGAGGATATGCAGAATACCTCCGGCGTACATCAGCAGAGTATCCAATGCCACTGTACTCAGAATCATCGAGCAGCCGAAGCTCAGCGAATGCCTCGCAAGACGGCAAATGATCTACATGGGGCAGCTAGCGCGCCGACCTGGCCAAGATCCTGCGAGGCGATCGGTGTTTGAGCCGGGCGCCCTGGAGCTGCGCAAGCTGGTCGGCCCGACAGAGCGGGGCAGACCGAGGCAGACATGGGGTCATTTAGTCTGGAATAATTGTCTCAAGGTCGCAGGCTCCCGCGAACGACTCGCTGTTTACTTCCACCCGGAGGGTTGTGCAGCTCGAGCGTGGGAGCGCGCGGTGAAGGCGTGGACCGGATGCTGAAGGCACGCCGGTTGCATGGTTCGTGCACGTTGTTTCTCACCCCTGCTCACGCACCGTCTGGTGCAAGGCGTACTTGACTTGACATGACTTGAGTGCGGCTGGAAGCCAGACTTGGAGAACCAGACGGCGAACTCGATCAGGAGCCAAGCCAGATCCCACTGGAGGAGATGACAAGGCCTTAATCTACCACATGAGCCAGCCGACACCAGAAAGCTACGATACCAAGTTACCCTTGTTGCAGCAATGTTCCAGGGCAAGCGCGACGAGGCCTGGAGGAATTTCAGCAAGTGGCGGGACGACCAGCCGCCCGACATCAAAGAGGTCTCCTGCGAGATCAACGAAGCCAGTTGTCGTACGATCCAGAGGGCCACGATGAGGCAGACGTACTACACGTGCTCGATGTGCGGCAAGAACACATGTCTCTCGAGGGTAAAGTCTATTCCTTGCAAAGGGCGCCCAGCGGGCATTTCCTTCAAGGACGCCATGACGAGGAAGGTGGGTGCAGCCAAGACGGGGCATTTCCACCAGCGGACGTACAAGCAAGTCGAGATGAGTTGGAAGTCGAGAGCCCGACTACTACAAGAAGTACTACGCCCAGTACGGCCGCAAGCAGCACGCGAGAAGGAAGGCGCTGGGCCTCATCCCGACGAAGCAGAGAAAGATCCTCACGAAGTCCGAGCTGCAGGCCCTCAACGCACGCCGGCGTGAACGGTACGCCGCCTGCAAGGCGGCAGCAGCAGCTACATCTCCCTCGCGACGGGATTCGCTCCTGGGTGGTGGGGAGAACCTCACAACAAGAGGGCACGATATAATTCGAAGGCAGTTTGTGCTGTTCATAATTCAAAGACCACTTGTGCTGATCATAATTCAAAGGCCGTATTTGCGGACCCAAAAGCTGCGGGTGCAAGTTCATCTTCCTCTCCAGCCTCAAATGCAAGCAGCGTTGCTCTGGCCAAAGCGTCAGGGCACCCAGGAAAACGACATGTTCACCAAGAAGAAGGTCTTCAACAACATGCTGAGGACCACACCCAAGACCAAGCAGGACGACACGTACACCCAGAAGAAGATCCACAGCAGGTGCCAGTCGCAGGACTTGCCCAGGATCCTACACCAGGCGAAGCAGTACCTCCTGCCCCAGCTCCATCAAGGTTGGCGGTCTGCTCGATCAACATCACTACTCTCACGAAAGCCAGGTTCACGACCCTGTTGGCCTCCGCTTCTGTCCAAGAAGCGGGTGTGGTGTGTATACAGAAGTCTCGACATTACGAAGAACGACCACGTTGGATCATATAACAAGCAGCACAAGCAGGGTGGAGCGCAGCCTGCTTCGCACCACCACCCAACGTCATCGCCAGGGGCCACCAGCGAGGAGCACCACGGCAGGGTGGTTGTATCATTATCTGGAGACGGTCCCTGGGTAAAGCTACGGTACTGCGCACCTCTCAGCTTGGTCACAGGATGATCGGTGTTCGGTTTCCCTCGGCCACTATCCTGTCAGTATACGGACCAGCAGAAGTAAATCGCAAGTGGATTCAGGACGCGTTTACCATCTTCCAAAACATGAGCATCATAGGCTGCCCTGTCTACGAAGTGGGGGACCTCAACTGGAGACGAGCTTACCAGGATGCTGCAGCACATTGGAAGATCAATACTACGAGAGCAGGAGTTGATACGTCGACTACGGTTGCGGGGACGCAGCCCACACGTGCCCTCCACTGGGGTCAGGCGCTCCGCCAGTACATGATTGCACAGAGATACAACCTGGAGTTTCAAATCACTGTTGCATATCTTACGAGTTGGAGATCCCCTTTTTCCAACAGCAAGCTCGGCGTCTCAGACGTACCGTTGCCTTTGCGCCGATAAAGAAGCCAGCGTCCGAGGAGGAGTGCAGTCTCATGCAAGAGCAGGTCGATCAATTGCTTGGCCCACCTCATCTCCCAGAGCCCGACGAAGAAGAACATCAAGACCTGGTTGAGCGTTAGAACTACTGGCATCAGCGGGCAGAGTGTGCTTTGAATATCGCAGTCAGTCATCAGTGCGTTACGCTGGAGATGGAGGCAGAAAGGGCTAAGGCTTCGGCATCTACCATGCGACGACGGCCAACTCCCCTCACCATCGAGAAGATCAATCCATAGAGCTGAGGAGGCTCCTCAGGCTACATCGACGCGTTGCAGACGCTCTTCGACGGGAAGGGCATCCTACTTCAGGTCTCAGTGTCAAGCACTTCGGTCAGTTGGCTACGGCAGCGCTCGACGGGAGCGTGGAAGTACAAGCGATAGGGCACCCCACATACGGTGATGCTCTAGATTGGTTATCACATACTATTTCTCGTGAACAAGCTCGGTTGCAGCAACGGTCATGCAAGAGCTGGAAGCCACGTTTCGCGACGTGGTCCTCAGAAGTCTGGTCGGCAGCTACACCTATCTTCAGAAGCTCATCCCCGGCGGCAGCCATGACGGCCAAGGGGGTGAGACGTCCATGGCAGCAAGTGGGGAGTCCTGAAGCTTATCATCCTGATCGTCATCTGGAATTGGCGACAGCATGCAGACAATGTTGTGTTTCCTCCGTCCTCGATGGCATCCGATTGGGACCCCGAGTACGATATGTTTGAGAAAGCGTTGAAAGAAGCAAAAGGCTGTGAACGCTTGGATGGCTGGAGGTACCGCGAGCTCCGAGCCCTGGCGCGCCTGTTCCCGACCATGACCCGTGAGCTCTTCGAGTTATGGCTGGATACCTCTCGGCGCGCAGTTCTAGTTCGAGGACGTGTACCACAGCTTACTGGACCTTGTTTGTGGATGGGGTATCGCAGGTATTCCAAAAGGACAGTCAGATACCAAACCCATTGCTGTTGCCTCAGTGGTGCTTCGAGTCTGGTTACGAACGCTAGCAGTGGCGGCCCCAGCGCCGCCAGACAATCAGTGGGCGAATCGCTCAGGATCATCAGTTGCACACGCCATCAGCGCGTGGCTGAACGACTGCACCGAGTCCACCGACGAAGCCGAGATGGACTTGAGCAAGGCCTATGATCATGCTGGACATGGCATTGCACTGGAAAGCTTAGACAGGTCGGGCTTACCCGACATCATTCTCTTCGTGTGCGCCGCGGCCTGGTCAAGCCCTCGTCTTTGCTCAGTCCATGGCGCACTTGCAGAACCAATATATCCAAAGAGAGGTCTCCCACCCGGGGACAGCCTCGCTCCGTGCACGCTCATCGCCACCCCCGTGCCGGGGCAGCCTCAAGGTAGAGGCCTCTGCTTCATGAACGACAGGTCGTTGACCAACCAGTCCCCAAAGCTGCTGAAGGACGACCTCGACATGACAGCGGTCTTCGACGAGTCCCTCGGCTACGTGGAGAACGCGAGCAAGACGCAGATGTGGAGTGCTGCAGATACGACACATACCCTCATCGAGCATTTGAGCATCCTCGCGGCGCCCACCAACGACAAGATCCCCATCCTTCCCCGCCAGGGTTGGCCCAAGGTGGAAGCGAATATCGACAAGCTGGGCACAATCCCAGGCACGCAGATGGTCCGCGCGAAGCTGGCCATGGCATATGTACAACCTCTGTGAACGTGGGCGAGTCCGTTGACGGCCCCATCCCCCATGGAGTTGGCTAAGAAGTTATTTCGTTCCATCATACGCACGTCGTCGAGCTGGTTGTGTGCTGGCAGGTGGTGGGCCCAACATATTCACTTGCATCCTGTCTTCTGTGCCTCTATCATGGGGCTACCCAAAGCTCAGGATCCCAAGATTGTCTGGTCTGAATGTTTGGACGCAGCTATGGAACAGTACGCTACTGCATTGGGGTTGAAATACATCACATTCTCACCTCAGCGGGGAATCCAATTCAAAATCGATCCGCATGATGACTATCGGGTACACAAAGCCACGGAGCAGTTGGTGGATGACTACTGGCGCTTCTGGGCAGGCAGTGATAAGGCCCTCCACGCACTTCGAGTTGCGGCAAAAACCCGCTGCTTGCAGCAAGTCGACGGCAAAAGACGGGGCGCGGAAGGGATTTCAGACTGGGAGCCGGCGGTAAACTGTCAACCTTGGTTAACGCCGGGAACTCGTAGAGCTTCCTCGTGGAATACGGGCGCGGCAATCTCGCATTCCGCGCGCGAGAGGGCGCGGCTTCATGGAGGAGGACGCGGAGGAGAAGAAGGAGTGAGGAGAAGAAGAAGATGGAGGCGGCCGAGGAAGAGAAGGAGGAGGAGACAAAGGAGCAGGCGAGGAGAAGGAGGGGGAGGAGGAACAGGAAACTGACGAGCAGGAGGGGGAAGGGTGGAGAGGGAGAGAAGAGGGACGATGACGATGATGAAGAGTAGAAAGATGAGGATAGGAAGGGAGAGAAGGAGCAGGAGGAGAAAGAGGAAAAGGAGCACATGAAGAAGGACGAGAAGCAAGTGAAGGAGGAAAATGAAGAGGACGAGGATCAGGAGTACGAACAGTTCCTTGGTTCCAGTTTTTGGAAGCAGACCGAGTTCAAACATGTGGATACTTGCAACGAGCGTTCAAGATGATGCGTCTGATTGCTGTGCCGAACAGCTCTAATCTCATCTGCAGCTCGAGCGCATCGTCATTTCTGCAAAAAGTAATAGAATACGGATAGTTGCTTGGTTCCAACTCTGGGAGCAACCAAGTTCGGTCATCTAGATACTCGAGACTGGCATTTCCGACGATTGCCTTTCGATTGCTGTGCCAAACAGCATTGTAGCTCATCTGCAGCTCGAATTATCTCAGGAAGGTAATCATAATATCTGAGAAGAGGAAAAAAAACAAAAACAAAAAAAAACTAAAAAACAGTTTTTCGAATCCAGCTCTGGTAGCAGTTCGGGCATCTATATGCTCGAGACTAGCGCGTCTGACGATTGTCTTCCGATTGCTGTGCCAAACAGCTCTCTACCTCATGCGCAGAGGAATGCAGACGTTCATCCAGAGGTTCCTTCCAGCAAGATCTTGACCAAGTGGACAGACAAATTGAACGATGATGATCAGGCTCTACTGAAGATATTTCGAAGTGGAGCGGCTTCATCCGACACGAGGAGGAGGACGGGGTTCCCTTGCAAGCTCAGCAATAAGACCTTCCCCTCGATCGGCCACCTCACTACATAGAACCCCAGCTACCGTCATGAGCAAGATGAAGCTACGCTGAGGCATTCCCTGCCTCCGGCTTTCTGGACCTCGATACCCAGAGTGACAGCGAAGACAGGGTGGATCACCTATGACATGTTCGATACGTCCCAGGACCGCGCGAGGCTGATGACCGCAGTTTGCTCTGCGGCTATTTCCCGAAGATTCTCGCAGATCCCACACCCATGGGCTGATTTACTCGCGTGGATTGTCCTGTGCAGAGTTGTGTTGCATGCTGTCGGTGGACCTTGATCATGTCCACATCAGGGGCATCATTTCTTGATGTGATATGTGTGAAGGCTGTCCTTATTTCTCATATTCATCACTTCGAGGTCGGCTACCGCTACTTCATCTGCTGGTGGTATATTTCTTGTCCCAGCGGGCGGAGTATATTACCCGGACGAGAGCGTCTACCACATAGTTATGGTGTCGCTTATGCAGTTTAGATATGTTGTCGTCGTCGTCACCGTAGTAATCGTCGACGTCACCGTCACCGTCGTCTTGCTCGTAGTCGTTGTCGACATTGTCGCCGTGTTCGTTGTCGTCGTCGTCGTTGTCGTCGTCGTCGCCGTCATCGTTGCCGTCGTCGTCGCCGCCGTCGCCGTCGTCGCCTTCGTCATCGTCGACGCCGTCGTCGCCGTCGTCGTCGTCGCCGTCGTCGCGGTCGTCGTCGTCGTCGTCGCCGTCGTCGTCGTCGTCGCCGTCGTGGCCGTCGTCGTCGTCGTCGTCGTCGTCGCCGTCGTCGTCGCGATCGTCGTCTCGATCGTCGCCGTCGTCACCGTCGTCGCCTGTCGCCGTCGTCGTCGTCGTCGTCGCTGTCGTCGCCGTCGTCGCGGTCGTTGCCGTCGTCGTCGTCGACGCCGTCGTCGCCTTTGTCTTCTTCGTCGTCCCCGTCGTTGTCGGGTCCGCCAGCGCCGTCGTCGTCGTCGCAGCAACCGCCCTCCTCATCGCCGTCGTCGGCGTCGTCGTCGTCGCCGCGTTCGTTGTCGTCATCGTCGCCGTCGTAATCGCCGTCGTCGCAATCGTCGTCTTCGTCGCCGTGGTCGTCACCGTCGTCGTCGTCGTCGTTATCGTCATCGTCGTCGTCGCCCTCAACGTCGTCGTCGTCGTCGCTGTCGTCGTTGCCGCCGTCGTCGTCGTCGTCGTGCTCGTCGTCGTCGTCGCGACCGTCGTCGCGATCGTCGCCGACGTTTTTTCGTCGCCGTCGTCGCCGTCGCCACCGTCGCAAACGTCGTCGTCGCGCTCGTCGTCCTCGTCGTTGTCGTTGGCGACTGCCTGGGGGGAGGGTTCAAGCCCCCATTCCATCCTTTGAATCGCCGTCCTTGTCGACGCTCTTCGCTGCCGCAGCCGCCAGCCGCCGCCGGCGCTGGCGCGTGCCCGGGAGACCGCTGGCGCAGGGGGAGGGTTCGCCCCTTCTTAGTAGGGGGAGGGGGTTCGAACCCCTTCCCTGGGAATCAAGAGGGCGCGCGGGGGCCCAGTTCCGGGCCCCTCCCTATCCGAACAGCACACAGACTTTGCTCTTTCCTATCGTTCATCCTCATCCTATCGTCGCGTCGACCCACCGCTCACCCACGTTTCCCCCCCGTTGTCGAGCCCTGCTGCAAACCATGATCGTGACTTCATCCGCTTGCCACCGCGGTGCGCCCCTAAGAATTTCCTGAATGGAATCCCCAAGAATGCGCCCAATGGGGGAGGCGAATCTGCTGAATGGAAGCCCGGAGAAAACAGCGACCAGAAACGGAGAATCGGCCCCGGAATTGGAATTGGAACTGGAAGCTGGGTAGCGTAAGACACCCGGAGCCGGCGGTAAACTGTCAACCTTGCATACGACCTGGAACTCGTAGAGCTTGCTCGCAAGATAAATGAACTGCATGCGGACGCGATAATTCCGCATTCTGCGTGCAAGGGCTCGGTTTCACGGAGCAGGACGGGGAGGAAAGAACACATGGGGAGAAGCAGGTGGAGGAGACTAAGGGAGACAAGGAGGAGAACACGGAGAAGAAGAGTGAGAAAGAGCAGAAGAAGAAGAATAAGAAGAAGAGAGAGAGAGAGAGAGAGAGGAAGAAGAAGAAAAAAAAAAAAAAAAAAAAAAAAGGAGAAGCAGACAGATCGAGGGGCGATGATGATGAGTGATAAAGG